ATTCAAAATAAAGGTCTCAAAATTGGAAATTAACAAATACATTTCAAGTAATTTGGCCACTATTGGTCTGAAAGAGTAAGTAAAAACACTGCAGAAAGTCAGATGTGCACATCTCTTTGTATCAGAGTTCCTCGTACTTTGTCTGGATTAAAAGGCTTTGAATTCCGGTTTATTAGTACCAGAAAGAATTGCACAACCAAGTTCGTTGAATCAAAGTAATATATGAAGCACTGTACAAGAAATCTTGTGATACTCTCAAGATGTGCCTATGTGCTGCATTCCTTTGTTAACCTATGGGGTTTATGAGCACAATTTTCTTTGAACGGGTGTATAATTATCCATTGTATGATCAATATGTACATGAATTCATGTACTATGGGAATGTTCTTTGAAATATTGGATCAGAAATGATATGTAGGATGGGCATTGAAAGTCTCACAATGCAAGGACTCTTTCATATGGGAGATGTCTACCTCACAGCAAGAGATAAAATAGAAGTTCTAGCCATCATTATATTATCATCACACAGTGAGTTGGGCCAACATTTACCAACTGATGGCAATCACTGAAGCCCAGTTTGAGCGGATTGCTTAAGCTTATGTTAAAATAGAGTATCCCTACATCACAGTAAAAAGCCTGCGTTGGTAATACTAGAACCAACAATGAAAGGGCTACTGTTGAACAAGGGTTACTCAGAGGCCATCCACCTCATCCAAGTCACAGATGGCTGTATTTAGCAACGTCTCAGTAAACAGAAAAAGCTCTTGGTTTAGTGTTCTGGAGCAGATCCTGTTAACGTTTGCAGACAGACTACAGGCACCATTACATCACACTGTCAGCAACCAGGGTAAACTTGGATCAGAAGCTTACCAGAAGGCAATGGCATACGGACTGACCTACATCCATTTCATTACTAGAAAGATAGAATCAATAAACATTTTAGCATGTTGGCAGTAAGTACTCCTTTGCCCTTTGGGATGTCCCACCTGACCCTCATCTGGTCATTAAGGAATTATTTATAATATTCACTGTTTGAACTTGAATCAGCTGTTTTCACACTCACTTGCTTTTGACAACAATATCCATTGTGGATTTATTTTCTATCATTTGACTAGGATACAGCTGTATGACCCAAAGACCAACAATGACTGGTAATTGACTACCGGTACTGTTTATCTCACATGTACCACCAGAATCTCTCAAGAAATAACTACTAAACTTATTGTAAAAGGTCTAATCACATTGAGAACCACAACTATAGGCAAATACTACAGGGCTCAATATTTAAAGTAGGAAGGAAATTAAGAAACTTCAGTTTTCTTGCTTCTATTAAGTGAGCGCTTTGTGAACTATCATGGGATTTGTTTAAGCCACATGTTAACACATTGCACGGAGGGAAATTACATGACTCTTAATTATTTAATGAAGCAAATGAAAAGAACAAGCATGAAGACTTCAGTTCAGTCCAGATGGGCTACAACAGCAGCTAAAATTCCGACTTCTGATCATCATCCATTGACCCCGCTGGTAATAATGAGTGTAAGTTCGCTGGTTGAGAGAGGGTCAGGCTTAGTTCTGATTACCTCTCATGGATAAGCCACCAGCTGCTGTTCACTTTCTAGGCTCCTCATGAAGAAATGGTCATTTAGGTAAATGGGTACGAGTAGTTTGCTTTTGCCAGTGAACATACACAACAATACTTCATCACTTTTAGCAGAGAAAAGCAGAAAATCGGTAGAAAGAAGGGAGTAACAAATAAAGCTGGTAATGAACGTGGATGTGTTGATGGTACAAGGAGCAAAAGTTCAAAATACTTGTAAATTTTATTTTAAAATTAAATTTTGATAATCTTAAAAAAAACTTCTCCAATAATACAAGAGGAAAACTAAGGGATGCAATTCTGAGATAGCTCGGGCAATGCTTGCCTTTTCAGTCTTGATTTTCAACATAGCATGGAAAGACAACACAAAGACACAGTATGTTGTTCAGACTGAAAATGATGGGGTAGGAATGATTGGTTTCCCAAAGATATACATTCTACCTAACTACAGGGCATTCTCAATTTACAGTTGAACATAGTTAAGGGTTTGTGACTCTGTAACTATATTTACGTCATTAGCATTTGCCTAAAATACAAATATATTGAAAAATTCTTGATTAAAAAAAAGTGATAAGATACAATGATTCTAAGATACTACTTGTCTGCCTCCTTAACACAAGGGCAATTGTTCCAGCTAAGACCAGCTGATTCAGCACAAACTGGGATTTGTACCTGCACGGTTACGCACGACCTCTACTTAATCGAACATTGCATTGGCCCACCAGTCAACAGAGGAGCTAATTTTGAGTACCTCCAATGGTTTTGGTTCTCAGTTGATTATTTCAAACATGTATGGCTCAGATAACGGGGAAGTTACAAAATTAGCAGCACTTGTTAGTTTATTTTGCATACAGAATATCATTGTTCATCAGTAGCGCATTTTCTGTACATACAGTTACTAGCAAGCCTGACTGGGAGCTTGACAGTGATGGAAACGCTTTCAATGGTCCAACACAGGGCTGCCCTTCAGGAGAGAGGACCCCTCTGTGCCTTTTCAGGCAGACGTTGAAGATCTTAGGGCACTATTCTAAAAGAGAAAGGAGTTTCTTCCAGTATCTTGGCCAACAATCCCTCAGACAAAATTCACTTAACGTCTATTTGTGGGACACTATTGTACGCAAATTGGCTGCCACGTTTATCTACAAAGTAAATACAGTCACTACACTTTACAGCAAATACTGTGAAGGTTTAGAGACATCCTCCCAACATAAAAGCCAAATGGACAGAATACTCTTATTTATTATGCATCAATAATTGTGCCACAATGACAAGTTAGGACTGGGAGCAGCATTGTGCGTCAAATAAAGGTCAGAACAATAAAGCAATGGTTTTAAAATGATACAAGCCAGATCATTCTAATGGCAACTTTATTAAGTTTTGTATATCTTGAAACAACGATCGACTGTTTTGATTATAAAAATTGTTGGGAGGGGACGGGGGGGGGGGAAGAGGAAATAAAATTAGAACAGGCGAATCATAATCTGACTGGCAGCATAGTAGCAATGCTCAAAGCTAAGAGTGGCACAGTGCATGCTTTGGAAGCCTGGCATCACATTAGTCGGGTCACACGCCCAGGCTCGCAAATTTCCCTGTGCTATGATGGATTGCATGCATAATGTGCAGATATCAGGCATTAAAAAGAACATAGTTTGTTATTAAATGCTGGGGATCCAGAGGAGAGCAAGATAAACGAGAGTACAAAGATGCTGGAAATGGCAGAGAGCAACATTTTATTTCCTCCTTTAAGATCCCAGGGCTTCACTCCAGGGCTTAGACAGACCAAGAGATTTATCTCAATACCACTGGCTCCCTTTTCCAAAGCGACAGCCACAGATCTTAACTTACAATATCAATTCTAACCTGATTTCACAATTTGTAGAGAGATCCTAGAAGAAGTCAGTCTTACTCCAATTATTCTGGCTTGGTTTAAGTCCTATCAGCCGAGCATATTATATTTCCCACATATGTCACCTTGACCAGCAATTCTCGGTGGAGGAGTAAGTGTGTTTTGTCTCATCCCTTGTCTCATTGTTCTGGCTAAATGTACACACTGCATTCACTTTGCTGATAACATTTTTAAAAGAATATGTGTGTTTCCAGGGAGGGGCTGAGCGAACATGAAAATCCCAGCCTGAAATCAAGTGTTGAAGCTACAGCAATCAAGCTCCAATTCCACCCGACTTCTCATCTTCATTTCACACATCCCTCTTGCACCCTTGACCACGGTTTGATTGTCCTGTCAAGTACCATTTCGCCAAAGGAAAACTTGGGATGTCTGATGTTGCCTCAAATTTGAACCTGACATCTCAAAAAAATCACTAGTTGCATATCATTGACTGAGGGTTTACCCACACACATGTAAAAAACCCACAAAGTGCTTCCTTTTTTTAAAAAAAAGTTCTTGACAAAATATTATTTGACAGATTAACAGACATGAGAGAGGGAAAAAATTATTTGTTCATTTCTTACAGCATTCGCCAGTTTTATTTATCCAAGGCAGTGCTCCAGTGTACATAATGTAAGCTCAAAGCAATTTTAGCCATTAGCTGGATACTATTCCGAGTAGCAAATGAAACATTACCTAATTTAGCATCCTTTCATGACAGCATGAGCTTGCACAAAACTGCAGCACGAATCTCACAAGGGCCTCAGTTTAGTTTATTCAATGTCATAAAACATTTTATAAACTAAGCCAAGATTGTTAGGCACACAATTGCTATTTAATTATTAATTTTTTTAACAAGATTCACAATATATCCCATTAACATACGATAGGTATGCCCACATTTAAAAACAAAATCCACCGTTTTGATATCAAAAATATTTTCACAATGTTATTAATGTAAAAATAGCTGCAAGCCATCTAATCTTATTGGTGCCCTTTGCAATAAGAAGCAATGGGAATGAGTAATTACAATACATATGGCTTGTCGGTTATAAAGATTCCAACACTCTTCTCACTATCTTTCCCCTCGCAGTAATACCAGGACGAGCTACGGACACAACTCCTTCAGATTCTGGCACAAGCCCAACAATCTGCCCTACATAGTGTAGCTCGATAAGTCACACCGACCGACAACCACTGTGGAATACACCACTGATCCTCAAACGCGCAGCATGGAGCCCAGCCAGGGTCCTCTCACTCCATGTTTTTTTACTATTCATTTATTTCCTACAGAGAGGAGTAAATAACCATGCCAAAACCAGTTTGCTTACAAAATACACAGTCACTACATTCTACGGTAAATCCTGAGAAGCGCTTCGAGACATTTTTGCTGACGGATTGACAAGGCAATGAACATTTATTACAAAAAATTTTTTTTTTAAAAATCTGCAAAGATGAGGGAGCTCTAAAATGCAGTGCTGTAAGATGTAAACTCGTCTGAATAATTCTTCTAACCTGAGTATCAAAGCCATTTTCTGCCTGGGCGGGTTTTCCTTGCGGCACCCCCTCCCCTTCACAATCACCTTCACATTCATCTTCACCGCGAGGTCCGTGTGGGGTTTTGAGTGGAATCTGGCTGGAATAGGTTGGTTTGGTCACCTCCACCTTGCCTCCGAGCTTCAGGTAGCAAGGCTGCTTGAGTGCCCGTGACGCGACGTGAGGAATAGGTGTGGCGCTGTGAACGGGCTTGGGTAGCCCCGACTTCATTTTCGAGGCCACGAGAATAGCTGGCATCTTCTGTTCCCCTTCCCAGTAACGTTCGCTTCTAACTCAGTCAGAAGAATCAGCAGCAGCAGCAGCAGCACCAGCAGCGACGACTGCAGTAGCTGCAGCAGCTCAGCGAGAGAAGCTACTACGTGCTTTGAAATCCGTTCTTCTGTGGCAGCCCACGCAGTGAGATTAGGAATCTCGAACCCAGGCTAAGTGATGGGCAGTCAAAACCGAAAGGTCTCAACAAGAACAAGTTGTGTTTAATAGAGCGTCCTTCATGCCGGACGGCGTCTCACAGCGTTGGTTGTCAAACAGCAATATTTCCTGACTTTTAAAAAATAATATTAAAAAAAAGAAATATTTTGGTGTTAAATCAGCCGTAGCTTTATTCCTCCCTTTCTCAACACGTGACTGTGTTTTAGCAGCTGGTAGCACAGAACGACTGAACGTTGTAATCTTCCCGCAGGAAAGCACAGCTGAAGAGGAGAGTGAATTTCAGTTCATTATGCTGATCATTCCGCCTTTTAAATAAAGCCAGTCCTGTGGAAAAACAACATGCTGCTGCTCCCTGTGATCCTCTGTGCACATATACATACGTGTAAAGTACAATATGTGTGTGCAGGATTTCCAGCTTACATCTAGTCTCTTCAACGCCTTAGTCCAGAAGCAGATAGACAGCTTAATATGTTAATGATCAATGCCCTTGGAACGGTGCCTGCCTTAGGGAGAGAATCTCCTCAGTCTGACCAGCACTCGATCCCGAGACAGAAAACACCACAGAAAAGCAAACTGTCCATTCATTCCACCGAATCAAAGACGTCTTGGTTTCCTGGCGCGAGCAATAATAATCTAAAATAAAAACGAGGAACTTCTCCACACATGTGGTTTGTCTAGGAAAATAAAAAAAAGCAGACAGTCAGCCTACAGCAGACAAGTGCTTTTCGCTCCTGAATCACGACACATGCAGTATTTTTTTTTTAAAAAAGCCGTGAGGAATAAAAAAAAAGTAGGGATGGTTCATCAATTTCTGTGAGCGAATTCTTGTGACTGTGCTAAAGGAAGCAATTGAGATCAGAAGGCAAAGAGTGCAAACTGACAGTGGTACAGTGCAGGCATCTGATTGGCCCAATTCCTCTCAAATCAGAATTTCTTTTAAATTATTAAAAAAAATTCCCTGCAAAAGGGAGTGGTGTAAAATACTGAGAGCTGAGTAAATATGCCATTATATTACCGCAGCACAAAGAGCGTTTGTAGCTTCTGTGGGGCGACACGAGGAAAAAAAAGGGTTAAAAATGAGCTGCCAAAAGCACTGAACTCTGCCTGGGGGCAGTGGGTCACAAAAAAGGAGGGAGTGAAGAGACCTAGGCAATAAGCCTTCCAGAATAAGATACGGGTCGTGAAAAGTGCCTGTAACTGTAACGTACGGACGATTCTGTAATGTTTGGGATTATGTTGTCAATCCCATGTACCGTAATTACAATTCCAAGTCAAACCTTTAAATAGCTGATTAACTCTTCTAGCTCCAATGTATAGTCTTGTCAGTCCTGATTTAGGAACAGACCAGGATACTGCGACTGAATGACATTCGTGGCACAGTAGCTGCAAACCAATTTTGGATGAGCTGAACTAAAATTTGACCAATTTAAAATTAGATACAGCCTTCCAGAGTGCTCGATCTCCGTACAAATTTAGACCTGGGTGTGAAGTTAGCCTGGATGGAGCAATGGTGTTCTGGTGTACCGTTGCTCGTTTTAACACTGACATTCAGCATTTCAGCCACCTACCTCACCAGTTCAGTCATCTATTTATTCATTCATTTATTCATTTATTTATGCAGCTACTGAAGTGGTTTACTACAAAGATTCATTGTAAAACTGACTCCAAAGTCTCACTACATTGCTGTGCATGGGATTCATGTTGTGCATTACACCCTATATATCTGTGATTTGCCGTATCACACAACCACTGCATTTTCATCAACGATGTGCACTGGTGTCGGCTTCACAGAACTTGTATGAGGTTATTGTTCAATGTTTCTCCCCTTGTTGCAAAGATGTCTATTTATCGCTAGAAAAAACCCAGTGAATTGGGATGTTGGCTAGTGGGGAAAGTCTTTGTGAAGCGAAATTTGCTCACACACCAATTGATTTCCAATACGTTTTAATCAGTACTAATAGGTTCCATCTGATGGGCATCATCTGACAAATTGAATGATTTCAGTTTCATTTGGCCCAAATTTGGAGTCACTTGTTAAAAAAAAAGCACTTTTTTGGAAACGTTTTCAGGCCTGGATTCCTCCTTATTAAAGTTTCCTTGGCTCAGATTGCTCAGATCGACAGCCGTTTACAAAAGCGAGCATTCAAGTTATTTTATTCCATTTTCCTGGAAGAATCATGCCACGGAAAAAATGTGCTTTACCTGTAATTCTTTATCTTCAAGGATAAAGAATAGATTGAATAGTTACAACATCTTAATCTGCATAAACCTTTCATGTTGACTTTTTTAGTTGAATATGAGTCACTTTGAACACATCAAAGTCATGTTAACCCAATATCCTCGTAGAATAATTGTATGAAACCCAACAGCTTTCTAAAATAAGCACCCAAAGATGATCATAGTATCTGTTGCACAAACTCTATGGAACTCCTGATTTCCCCATAGATAAAAGGTATTCTGTCCAAAGGTTAACGAGTTTGAACCTCAGATCTGCTACTCACTATATTGTACCGTCATTAATCAATTTATTAATAGTTTCTAATAAGGGCTGCGTTGATGAAGCATTACAAAAGTGTCCTTCTGAAATTTTCATATGCATCAGGAATTTCTGAAGCACATTAGGATGCTTCAACATGATAAGGCACTGATAATCAAATGCAAGGATTACTGTTAAAATATAACTAAAAGCACGTCTCTGCTTCTCACTGTCGGTCTTGCGTATCTGATCAGACTTAAAACAAAATCCAATTGCTCCGCTGTCTGTCAGGTTAAGCACGAGTTCGGAAATGTTCCATTCAAGTCTTGGCGTCTTCAGCTGGATACCAAGAATATACAGTTCAATGGAGAGAACGCAGAGAAATCTGATTCAAAACCAGCTCCAGACTTCAGACCACTATCAAAGCTGTAGAAACGGATATGTGAGGAAATTTGGAGTCTACCAGTTGTAGTCTTTTTATTTCTGTGTTTTTCTCCGGGCAGCTTGTGCTGTAGTAAAACAAATCTGAACCCACAAGGTCTTTGCCCAAATAAATAAAGAGGACCATGAACAATGACACTATAAAAGCAAAGTCTGTGTCAGGTATCAATCCTTGGCACAGTGTGTCAGATTTATGTTTAGTTTGCTCTTTGCTTTGCACTGCCACGCAGGGATTGCAGTGGGACATGTGCACTGTGAGCTCAGAACTTGAAGGATTATGTTTATGTTTCAAAGCAACTTTTTTTGCTTCTTCAGTGTATCTACTGTAGCCTCCTCTCGAGAGGCCTTTGACACATTTCTAGAGAGAGTAGCTTTCCCGCGGGTGTCTGGGGCTCTCAGTTAGCCCACTGACCATTTAGGTGTGAGTTTTGACTGTGATTATCAGCAGACAATTAGACTATGCAATGCATTGCAGCCCTATCCTCATCCGATGTCCACAAATCAAAGCTTCCAATGGAAGAGAGGGGCAGAGGGGTGGTTCTGGATCGTGCAATTGGAGTGGGAACCCAAACTAATTGTTCTCTTCCTAACCTTACAGTATGGAGACCCAATCGTAGCACCACATCCGCTATTCTGGCTGAGGTCAGCACGTTTGCTTTTATTTCAGGCGACAATTTGTGAGTGAACTGCAAAAAGAGCGATCATAAATTTTGAAGTTCAACAACAGTGGTTCAGGGGAATTTTCAAGCTACTGTAATTTAGTTACAAGCACACACATACACACACATATATACATACACTGCAGTTGGGCAGCACAATTCTTTTTATTGAACCATTAGCTTCCACTGCGAAGTAAATAGTGCAAGTGGTATTCTGCAGCTCAATCCCAAAGGAGAAAGCAGGCCAAAAATAAATGGTGCAGTAACAAGTACACTGCAAGGACACACAAGTAGCAGTGTAGAAATGAGCCAGCGGGGAAATGCCAGATTCAGTCTTGTGCCTTTAGATGCGAGTACAGCAAACGTGCATTTCTTCCTTCTCAGTAAAACACTGTTTACAAATCCATCACTGAAAGCACAGTAAATACTGCAGATTTACTGGATGGCAGTCGGACCAGTTAATGGCACCGCAGAAAGGCCCGAACTAACAGCAGCCATACCATTTGTAGGATTATCATTTATTTAACATGACACGGAAAGCTGATTGCACTGCACAAGTGGACCACAAACACCGTACAGCACCTCCGGACAACGTTGGATTTGCACTTAACAAATCAGCTCATCTGACATTTCATTTTCCTCTCCTCTTGTGTTTCAGTCTTTACAGATTGCGGAGTTATTTTATATTTTTCTCTCTCTTATTTTGGCAAGTCTTTCTGCGACATTATCACTGTGAGGGGGCGACAGATGCTGAGTGAAGCCAAGGCCACCAAAAATCATCACAATACCATTAGACATGTCTCTCGTTTGCGCATTAATAAGGTCGCTGACCCCTCAATCGTGGGATGCCACAGAATTCTTGAACAGTATTAACATTCTGGATCAGGACAATAATACTATTTAGTGGCAGTTCAACATTAATATCAAGTTGGGGTGGGAGGGTGGGGAGAGGGGGGTTGGGGCTCACAGAAAAAAACGTTGTTGTAAACAGGATGACCGATCACCAAAGTTTGTAGCCTTTAGCAATAAAACAGCTCCATTGTATTAATCCAAATCAAGGAACGTTGGGTAGATAGAATGGCCGGAAGGCTGGACAACTATGTGAGGGTTTAGTGCCACGTTTAGAAGGAAAGGGAAAATCTCCAGATCATACCTTGAATTTCACGTTTCATTGATGGGGGCCGAAGAGATTTCTGGCATCTGGAATTATGCATCGTTCTAGATTTGTTCCA